GCTCCTAGGATCACAAGTGATTGCATTAGGATTTGACTCCTGGCCTTATCTGAGGCAAAAATATTTTTTCTTCTAGTAATTGGGGTACAGTATATCTAGGTATTTAGATACTATGATAGGAAGTACATTTATGGGCAATTGAAGCAGCCATTTCCAGTATGTGTACAACAATCTGAAAAAACAGGTCTGCACAGGGACCTATCCTTGTCTTATAACATTTTGCCTAAGACCTCCAGTGGAAGTGGTAGTAGTAGTGATCATTTTTGTCTTGGTCATGACATTAAAATAAATGTTTCTACTGTGTCAACTAGTTTCTGGTGAATACCTTCAATCAATTTAACACTGAAAAATCAATTATAAACATATAATGTTGTTAAATAACTTTAAAAAATATGTTGAGATGATCAAATGGTCTTCTTTGCATATAGGTTTTGAATAAAATTAGTATATTGTTTTCTTTCTGTATTATCCTTATTTCATATTGGAATAAGAATTATCCTACCTTCTTTGAAAGAGATGGGACAATTTCTCATTTTATGTGCTCTGTAAATCTTTCTTGGCTTAGTGGTTTGTTTTAGTAGTAAATATTTTAGTACTTTACATGATTTTATATGGTTATTTTATTAAGTTTTCAAAAAATTTCAAAAGTATTATCTAGGTCTTTAAATGTCTTTGTTGAGATACAATTCGGGTATCATAAAATTCACTTATGTAAATAATATAATTTAATGGTTTTAGTATATTCAGAGTTGTATACTGTCATGGGTTGAATAGTGTCCCCCCCAAAAGATAGATTCATCTAGAATCTCAGAATATGACCTTATTTGGAGTAAGAACCTTTGCAGATCGAACTAAGATAAGGATCTTAAGATGAGATTATGCTGGACCAGGCTCTGCTTCTAGTTAGCCCACCTACAGCTTCCTCACATGGATAGCCTTCAATCTGGGGAGCTTCTGAGTCCTTGCTAGAGTGCAAGTGATGGCGGCTGACTCACTTGCTCTAACAAGCCCTGAATAAATAGACCTTGCCTGTTTTTGTTTGGTTGATTTTTATTTATTTCCACAGAAGTGTGTGTGTCTGAATGCCACTCCTGAATAGAAATGTACTAAAGTCATCATTGATAATTACGTGGAATTTGTAGATTCTGTCTAAAGAGATAATGAGTTAAGGTTAAATAAAGATATAAAATATAAGATATATTTTGTACAATTATAATTATTTTATCAGATGTTTTCAGCTGCAAATTACTGGAAAAAAACCTCAGTTTAAAAAAATGAGTGTTTTTTTTTTTTTTCCTTCATAAGAGGGCCTGCTTCTTCCCATGTGTTCTCTTTCAGATCAATGAGGAAAAACCTTCCTCCTTATATCTTCTTCTTATGTTTCATTTGGTCAGAAGGGTATAGACTGGGAAGAGAAATGGGACCATCCTGCTTGACTTAAACCAATTATGAGTTATGCCTCTGGCGCTGAAAGAAAAGGTCCAATTTATGGTAGCAGCAAATATGATAAAATACTCAGAAATAAATTTAACATGAAATGTAGAAGCCTCATAAAAAGAATAATTTTAAAAGCTGTTGAGGGAAACAAAAGAAGACTTGGACAAATGGAAGGGCATACTTTGTTCTTGGACATAAAGACTCAATTTCACAGATATAAATTTTATACATAACCTATAAATTTAATGTAACTTCAAAGGAAATGCTAAAAGAATTATTAACACTAGCAAAGAAATTCTAATGATTAGATGGGTAAAAAGACATGAAAGAATAACCAGAACAAATTCTAAAATTCAAAAACTAACTTTTTCTAGAAGAGGAGTGGTCATCGGTACTGGGAATCAGTTGTCCCTTCACTGGGCAGAATTTGCATGACTATGGAAAATATCATTTGCATTGCTCTTGGTTATCTATAATTTATGGAGTAAAACAGCTCAAAGACATGGAAAGGCTGAGATAACCTGGATAAGTGAGCTAGACAAACACCCACTCTTTTTTTGTCCATTTCCAAGCATTCATGATTTTTTCTGACAATATTCCCTGACCCCTGCCTTGTGATTATAATAATTATAAAAAAGAGAGAGAAAAGATTATTTTGTGATTGAAATAATCCTGACATTAGATTTGGCTCGATTATTAATTATGGGTAAAGGAAGAATGTTAATTTACTGCTTAGGTTTCTTTAAATTTGCTTTACCAAATCAAGAGCCATACAGTATTGAAGCATGACAAAATTAAGTTCTTTTTGGAAGTTCTTAAAATGAATCTTACATTGGGCTTTTCTTTTACTTTTTCTTTGAAACGGTGTCTCACCCAGGCTGGAGTGCAGTGGCACGATCTCGACTCACTGCAACCTCTGCCTCCCAGGTTCACGCCATTCTCCTGCCTCAACCTCCCAAGTAGCTGGGATTACAGGCATCCACCACCATGCCCAGCTAATTTTTGTATTTTATTAGAGATGGGGTTTTGCCATGTTGGCCAGGCTGGGTTTGAACTCCTGACCTCAGGTGATCCACCCACCTAGACCTCGCAAAATGCTGGGATTACAGGGGTGAGCCGCTGTGCCCAGCCCTCACATTGGGCTTTTAAAAGCCTCTTTTATTTGTGATCTTGAAGCTAGGAAAGCAAACCCAACAAACCCTACCCAATATCACCTGTAATATCTATAAATGTGTGGGAATTTCACTCTTCTTGAGGTACTCCCAATACCCTAAAACTTCTGGCCAGCCAGGAAGAGACCTTCTTCACATCTGTAAGGCCAAGGCACCCTGTAAGCCAGGGAATAACTAGTTTTCCTAAGAAAGTTTTATAAGGCATTAAGTTTCTGAGTTTCTGAATATATTCTTAATATATTTCTGAGATTCTTAATGTATTTCTGGATTTTTAATATATTTTTGAGTTTTTGTGAAAGTAATTTGTTTAAGTATAGCACATTTAAAACATTTGAAGTTCATTTTTCTTTTTCTTTCTTTCTTTTTTCTTTTTTTTTTTGAGACAGGGTTTTGCTCTGTTGCCCAGGCTGCAGTGCAGTGGTGTAATCTCGGCTCACTGCAACCTCCACCTCCTAGGTTCAAGCAATTCTCATGCCTCAGCTACCGAGTAGCTGGGATTATAGGCGTGCACCACTCTACCCGGCTAATTTTTAAATTTTTAGTAGAGACGGGGTTTCAGCATATTGGCCAGGCTGGTCTTGAACTCTTGAACCTCATGTGATCTGTCTGCCTCAGCCTCCCAAAGTGCTGGGATGAAGTTCACTTTTCTGATTTTTTGAGAGTCTTGGGAATATCCCATCTTTATAAGCACTTATTTATCTCTTATGTAAATCAATCCAAAAAACACCCCTTTAATTTAAGAGACTTCATAATGTAATTTTTTGATACCCCTGGGAGATAGGAAAATATCCAGTTACAAAGAAAGGTGCAATCTTTTGTGAGTTATGACACAGAGATGTACATATACATAGTGAGCTTAAAGCTTCAGTTCTATGTTAGCCACAGGTCAAGAGTTGATACAGAAATACCAAAATACCCTGAAGTAGATATCAAAGAGCTGTTCTCCTTTCTGGTGAGCTTGAAATTCTTGATCGGTTTTTCTCAAAAGAGACAAATAGATAAAAAAGATGAATCAAATTATACATGTTCACTTCACTCAAGGGGAAAACAGATAAGGCCAGGTGCAGTGGCAGGCACCTACAGTCCCAGGCTTGATGGTTGCTAGAGCCCAAGAGTTTGAGGTCAGCCTGGGCAACATAGTGAGACGCTCTGAAAAAAAAAAAAAGAAAGAAAGAAAACAGATACCTATAATCTATTAACGCAGTTTTGGAGACCACCAAATGGTCATACATTAAAATCAATTTCCTAATCTTTTCTGACACCAATGGGAAATAATTTATCAACCATAAATGAAACAGACATACATAAACAGACAGTAGAAAGGAAGAGAAACTAGAGAAATGGAGAGTTAGCAAAGTTAAACTTCTATTGTCACTTGGCGTTTATCTCCAGGAGCTAAGAAAATATGTGCCTGGATTCAAGCCACTTACTGGATACACTTTCCTGGCGATGTAGCTTACTTACCTCTGTCAGGTGAATTCATTGGGCATTTTGGTAGATCTCCAAAAATATAATTTTTTAAAAAGGTAAAATAATAACTCCAGTACACATGTAAAATGAACAAGTGTCTGAGATTTTACTTAACCCATTTATTAATGAAGGAACCAGTAAGATATCACAACCAGTTTCTTATTTTCAGTAATTAAAATATGACATTATAAAGCCATTGTCATATAATGATATTATAAAACCACTATCATGTTATAAAGCCATTGTCAAATGATATTATAAAGCCATTGTCTATGATATCATAAAGCCATTGTCATCGGCAAAAAGTGATAAGAAAAAATATTGTAGAGGTATGTCGGGTAGTTAATTACTAAAAACATTTATAATGTAATGACATTATGGTATTTGTTAACTTAAAACTTTTTTTGCATTGTTACTTTTTATGAATACAAAATTTTGTATTCGTAATTTTATATTATTTTCTTTTAATAATCCTTCTCCCTAAATTGTATAAGCTTCAGTCTTCACAAAACCTCCTAATAACAGGGAAGGTCATCTGTGGAAGTGGAGGTGGAGGTGGAGGTGGAGGTGGGGGTGAAGGGGAGTATGGTGCAGGTTCCTGTTTCAGGATTTAGAGAGTTGAAAAAGTTTGGAGTAATGATGGTAGAACTAGGCTGGAGAGTCAACCAAGGAAAAGAGTGAAGTGGAGGAGAGCTGTCAGGGAGTTCAGCTGAGGTTGAGTAGTGCATCGTTTTGTTTTTTTTTGAGATGGAGTCTCATTTTGTCACCCAGGCTGGAGTGCAATGGCACAATCTTAGCTCACTGCAACCTCTGCTTCCCGGGTTCAAGCGATTCTCCTGCCTCAGCCTGCAGGGTAGCTGGAATTACAGGCATGCGCCGTCACACCCAGCTAATTTTTGTATTTTTAGTAGAGATGGCGTTTCACCATGTTAGCTAGGCTGGTCTCGAACTCCTGACCTCAAGTGATCTGCCCGCCTCGGCTTTCTAAAGTGCTGGGATTACAGGAGTGAGCCACCTGGCCTGCATCTTCATTTCTGATGTGAAGAACATGGGGTGGGGACTCTCTCCTAAATAGCATGGTACCATTTAGATTTTGGGTGAGCAGTGAAGATTTGGGAAGATCAGTGTCAGATTCAAGATTTTAAAAATGACTCTGACAGGTGAGGGAATAGTTAATGTCTCTGGCAGAATCTCATTAATCCTTCGATGACTTACTAACATGTGATGTCACTTTTCATTGGGTCTTTACCTTGTCCACCACTGATTTATCTCTTGTTGACACACCTACCCTTATGGTGTTGAGATTCACACATATGTATGCATAGCCTCCTCCATAGGGTCAGATCTCTTTTCCCTCTTGGGGTGGTGTGAAGGCAGACTTATGGTCTTGCCTCAGTTAGTGTTCTTAATTCTATCTCAGTAGTTGGGGCAGCTTCTCTTTACTTGGGCTGTATTTCATTAAATGTTTGGCCGCAGAACTGAAGTGTGGATGCTGGTGAGTGGAGAGGAAACAGAGGGTGACCTGGCTTTTGCTTTGGGGCAGGCCTTTCCCTAACATTTAGGAAACTTAACACTGTGGATGGCCAAGTGGATAAGTAGTCTCTGAAATCAGTGGGGAGCTGCTGCTTCAACAATGCAGCCAATGAATGCTGATGGCCGAACTCACAATTCACCCTATTACTAACACATCACTCGATAAGGTAAACTGACTATTTAGGATGGCTGGGGCACAGGAGAAATTATATAAATGTTGATTAATTTGAGGCTTCCCTCCAATTCTCTTTGTAATATCTTGTTTCCTTTACTAGCGAGTTCAGAACATAAGCTACTCTTCACAGTAAACACAGGCCCATGAAAACTTGACAGAAAAGGAGTGGAGGATGTGAACTGGATAGATATGGGATAAAGTAATAAAAGGTAGTTAACATTTAGTCAGCGGTTAATGTGTGCCAGACATTGTAATAACTCGCATATCCAATTAATATCTGTCTATTGCCACTGTCTATTTTCACATAAAATAGATACTATTTTATCTCCATTTTATACAAGAGAAAACTGAGTCTTAGAGAAACTTACTTGTCAGTGTCACACAGTTAGTAAGTGTCAGAGCCAGGATGCAAACCTAAGTATGTCTGAACTCTGAATCCCATGCTTTTTATTCCCATGAGATGCTGAGAGCTCAGTAGATAAAGGTGAGAGTGGGAGGTTATGGGTAGAGAACAGCAGTAGGTTTGAGAAAGAATAAGTGGTCATCAGAGGGGTAAAGCAACAAGTATATCTTCTGGTGACAGTTTGAAACTACATTGCAAATAATTTGTGTTACTAATAATTTGTTGTTACTAATAACGGAATATTTGTGAGTGACTTACATAAAAATAAATTGGAGAGAATTCAGTATTACTCTTAACTGGATTCTAATGTGTTTCTCTTTAAGTGAGAGGGAAGGAAGTTGAATTACAGATGGTTAACTCCCACCTGTATGTCCTGTGCTGGTGAAGTGATACCAGGTGTACATCAAGTGTTATGGGAATGAGGTGGAAACAAGGTAAGAATCACCAGACTGAGGACGTTATGCATGGAGGATGTTGCAGTTCTCATGAATGTTGCTCCCAAATCTCTTCTCCTTTGGCTCCTAGGGTCTTTGAATAGAGGTGAGGGGAGCAAATCTCTACTAAAGTAGACACAGAGATCAGAAGAAACCAGGTCAAAGCTGCTTCCCACCAAGCTGTGTGGTCCCGGGTAAGTCACAGCATTTTTCAGCCTTAGTTTCCCTATCTGTAAAATGCAAGGTGTATATGTGGTATACCTTTTTGACAGGCTTATTGTAAGAATTGAATGAGATTGTTCGTTTAGCTGTGATTACTATTTTGAGAGATTTGATAGCAAGCAAAACCTCTAGTCTTGGTGGGCCGAAGACCCTGGAAGATGGCATCCTAAGAGCAAATTGAAGCCTGTAACTCCTAAGACTTTCCCCCATCCCTCCCACATAAACTCTCAGTGACCCCACCACCCCCTCCACTGACAAAGACTCTGCCTCTCAAGTGCTTGAACACAACAATCTCCAAACAAACTATTAGGAAAACTTTTAGAGGAGTGAAGACCCCTGACAGGACTGGGCCTATTTTTGGTAATGTGTTGTTGGGATGTTTGAGAATTAGTTTTGAAAGTCATTACTTTTCCCCTAAATGGAATTTTTCCTGGAAGGCCATAAAAATAGAAGAGATTAAAATTTTTACTAGGTTGATCAGGTTACGCACATCCGCTGGCCCAATATATCACAAACAAGAAAACAATAAAAAGCATTCATACAGTCTTTTTAGCCAGGGGTCACCTCAACACATCATAAAACATTAGTTCATGACAAGTGAGAGATTGGAATCAGCTGTGCCCATAAACTAGCGCTCATTTGCAGCCTGTGCTTTCAGAGCAGGAGAAAACTTGAAGGGCACGTGGGATTACACAAATAGGCCTTGTGAACCAGCGAGAACAGACTCCCGCCCCAGCCTTTCCCTCCAGACTGCTTGGCTGTTCCAGTGCCCTCCTACCAAGGAAAATTGGATTTTAGTTTGCTTATGACTGCTCTGAACATGTCAGGCCCCATCTGTTCCTGAAGGCATGGAAGATACAGGCATGACATTTTACCCAGAGCCTGAAACCATTAAAATTCAGTCTTTGAAAAGATAAAAATGAAAGAATGATGTTATCAATAAAAACAATGATTTCCTTTGATGGAAGTTGAACAATTCGGTTGGTGACAATATTTCAGATGTCATTTAAGTTTGTTAACTCTTATTTGCATTTCATCCCCTGTGACTGGCTGGGGAGCAGGGTGGAGAGGGATCTTGCTTCCATTGCACCTGACACTCCACTTTGCCCGTATTTTATCACAGGATTTGCCATTGACTTGTCTCCCCCATCCAGGCTGTAAATCTACTAAGTGACTGATATATTAGGGTTCAATAAATGTTTGCCTTAATATCCTTGACCTGAATGGGCTCATTAATTCCCCTAGATTTAAAAATCATCCTTTCATTGATATACTTTCATCCCAAGTTATGTTACCTCTCCTCGGCAGTCATCTACTTTACATATTCATGAATCTCTCACAGAAATCTGAAAGTCAAAATATATCTCAAATTCTTCTATTTTGCTTCATTACCTTAGTCCGTGCCAGCATCATCTATCATCTGGACATTATAATAGGCTCCAAAATGATCTTGTTTGCAATCTTTTCCCCCACCAACCCATTCTCCCATTCTCTACATAATAGTCTTTTTTTTTTTTTCTGCATCCACACTGTCCTTCACTTCTTACCTCCCTGTATTAGTTTTAAGCAAATTTTTTATCCAGAACTATTATACTTAATACATGTGTGTATGTGTAGTAGATTATATAATATGCAGTTATATACTATATGTACATATATACACATATATGTACAGACACAAATATACACACTCCTTTTTTGCTAAACATAACCACAATGGTGTTATCATACTTAAAAATGTAATGCTTTAAAATATCAAATATTTTTGAGTCAGTGTTCAGGTTCTCAATTACATTACAAATAGCATAGTTTTGACAGTTTTTAAAATATCAAGATTTGAATAAGATCAATGCATTGTGATTCATTATGTTTCATAAATCTATTTTAATATATAAGTCCTCCTAACCTTGTTTTTTTCCATTACAATTTATTTGTTAAGGAACTGAATTTTTTCTCCTGAATGTCTCATACCCTGGAGTTTGCTTATCACATCTCTATAGTATATTTTAACGTGTCCCTTTGTTCTCAGCATTTCTTATAGATTTGTTGATGGCTTCAGAGGCTAGATTTAGAGAGGCTCAATTCAGGTTTGATTTTTTTTGAGGGAGTGACTACTTCATAGGTGGCATTGTACTCTCCCATGCTGATGCCTGGATATCCCTCACTTAGTGATATTAGCAGATATTAATTAGATGCCTAGATGCATTACTTCATAGGTTGTTATAAAACAATGATATTCAGATTTTTTCATTCTTTCTTTGTTAATCAGATGGATTATTATACATCTAAAAAGAAAAATATCCTCTCATCTACTATTTGGAAAGCAATGTTACTAAAATGAAAATAGAATACTCTGGGTTTGGTAATAACCCTCCCTCTAAAGACAACTAAAAAGCTGGGCAGAAAAAAAAGTCTTAAAAGGAACAATAAGGAAAAACAATAGTGAAGAAATGAAATTGTGATCAGCTTGAGAAAGATAGGCAGCCTCAGTTGCTTCTGCCCAGGTGGTGTTCAAAGATTGGGACTAGGTTACACTTTTGGCAGGTTAGTGTAGGAAGGAGATAAAAGTTAGAGGCAGGAGGTTAAGACCCTGGAGGACTTCACCATTTGAAAAAAAAAATATATATATATATATATATATATTTTTTTTTTTGAGACGGAGTCTCGCTCTGTCGCCCAGGCTGGAGTGCTGTGGCCGGATCTCAGCTCACTGCAAGCTCCACCTCCTGGGTTCCCGCCATTCTCCTGCCTCAGCCTCCCGAGTAGCTGGGACTACAGGCGCCCGCCACCTCGCCCGGCTAGTTTTTTTTTTTTTTGTATTTTTTAGTAGAGACGGGGTTTCACCGTGTTAGCCAGGATGGTCTCGATCTCCTGACCTCGTGATCCACCCGTCTCGGCCTCCCAAAGTGCTGGGATTACAGGCTTGAGCCACCGCGCCCGGCCTTGAAAATATTTTTATGCTGGGTACATGTTCCTATTCCAGCGAAAAGGATGAAAAGTAGAGTCACACACTACCGTGACAGGGCCAGGGATAAGAATCCTGTGCCCTGTAATGGTGGGAAAATTGTGGAAACACTCCTTGCTCAGGACTCAGATCTCAAAGGGATATTGCTAAATGTTTGTGTCCTCATCCCAATTTATATGTTGAAATCTTGACTCCAAATCCACCACATTTGATGGTATTAGAAGGTGGATGTATTAGTTCATTCTTGCACTGCTATAAAGAAATACCCAAGACTGGGTCATTTATAAAGAAAAGAGGCTTGATTGGTTCATGGTTCTGCAGGCTGTACAGGAAGCATGATGCTGGCATCTGCTTGGCTTCTGGGGAGACCTCAGGAAACTTACAATCATGACAGAAGGCAAAGGGGGAGCAGTCATCTTACATGGTGGGAGCAGGAGCAAGAGAACATGAGGGGGAAGTGCTACACACTTTTAAACAAGCAGATCCCATGATAACTCACTCACTATCATGAGAACAGTACCAAAAGGATGGTGCTAAACCATTCATGAGAAACCAACCCCATGATCCAATCACCTCCCACCAGGTCCCATCACCAACACTGGGGATTACAATTTGACATAAGATTTGGGTGGGGACAAAGATCTAAACCATATCTATCAGTGGAGCTGTTGGGAGGTAATTAGGTCATATGGGTGAAAAGGGATTAATGGGTGGAAGGAAAGGGATTAATGCCCTTAAAAGAAGTTTGCTGTCTCCCTGCTCTCTACCATGTGAGGACATAGTAGGAAGATGGCTATCAGCAAACCAAGAAGAGTGCCTCACCAGACACTGGATCTACCAGCACCTTGACCTTGATTGTTTTAGCTTCAAGAACTGTGAGAAATAAGTATTTGTTGTTTAAGCCACCTAGTCTATGGGTAATTTGTTATAGCAGCCCAAATTGACTAAGACAGATATGGACTATGTTTTAGTACTTCACCTTGGTGACTCAGAAAACCTTGGTTCCCATCAGGTACCTGACAGAAGGAAAAAAAGTCTCTCTGAAGGAAAATAACACCATCTAAGACTTCAAATTATTTCTATTAATAAGTTAAAAATGGCCTGAGAACTATGAAAAACAATGAGACACACCGAGAGATAAAACAACATAAGCCAGAACCAACAGAAAAAGTAGTTCAAAAGAGGCATCAGATACTAAAATGAAGCTGGGCATGGTGGCTCATGCCTGTAATCCCAGCACTTTGGGAGGCTGAGGCGGGTGGATCATCTGAGGTCAGGAGTTCAAGACTAGCCTGGGCAACATGGTGAAACCCTGTCTCTACTAAAAATACAAAATTACAGGTAATCCCAGCTACTTGGGAGGCTGAGGCAGGAGAATCGGTTGAACCCAGGAGGCGGAGGTTGCAGTGAGCTGAGATCATGCCACTGCACTCCAGCCTGGGCAATAGAATGAGACTCTGTCTGAAAAAAAAAGTACCGAAATGATTCAATATGGATTGTAGAACCACTATGCTTACAATATTCATAGAGATAAAATCTGAGCTTAAAAATCTCAGCTGGGAGCTAGGTACTATAGCGTGACACTGAATGTTTTCCTCCTAGTATCAGGACCTAAAAAAGGATATGTGCTCTTGTCACTTCTATTTAACATTGTACTGGAGGTTCTACCCAGGCAATTAGGATAAATAAAGAAATAAGCCAGATAAAACAAAACAAAAAAACCCCTCATGATGCATTAGGATAATCAGTGGAAAAGTGTGTGGAACTCCCAAACTAGTAGATTAAAAAACATAGAATAATAAAAAGTAACCAACCCAAAAGAACACATGAAGGGAGAGGAAAAGGAACATAGAAGAGGTGGCTTAATAAAACACATAATGAGATGACAGATCTAAACTCAGAAATATCAGTAATTTCACTAAATATAAATGGATCAAATACTCCAGTTAAGAAACAAGGTTTTTTAAAGTTGAATTTAAGAAAAAACCAGTATAGGCTCTTTATAAG